TGTATGTTTTCAGTTAAACCAAATCTGTGTATTAAAAAGATAAAAGTGCTAATTGTTGGAAAAGTGTTAATAATTTGGGAATTCTAGGTTGGGGTACCATGGAATTCTAAGTGTTGAAGGGACCTTCTAGTTATCCAGGCCTTCTGGTTGAACATAATGGAAAGAGTTTTTCTGATTCCTTTAAAACGTGGCTGGCTTCACTGAAATGTGGCTGCTTTTGAAAAGTTATTTTATTTTAGGGATCCTTTTTCTTTTTTTCTTTTTTTAGACAGAGTCTCACTTAGTTGCCCCTGGTAGAGTGCCAAGGTGTCATAGCATACAGCAACCTCTTACTCTTGGGCTCTAGCAATCTCTTGCCTTAGCCTCCTGAGTAGCTGGGTCTACAGGCTCCGCACAATTCTGGCTATTTTTAGAGATGGGGGTCTCTCTCTAGCTTGGTCTTAAACTCCTTAGCTCAGGTGATCCGCCCACCTGGGCCTCCCAAAGTGCTGGGGTTCCAGCCACCGTGCCTAGCCTAGGTGTTCTAATATGTACCTTTATATTTTATGGTCAGATCAGAGTAAGATATCAGGAGTCACATTTTACTAAGTGGCAGATTCACCATATGAGATGGGTCAGACACTTTTTGATGCCTTAGCATGGTTATTATGATAAATTTAAAGTCTATTATGGAACATTTCAACCATATTCATTTGATTACACAGACAGATGAGTACAATAACCTCCATGTCCCCTTACTCAGCGTCAGTAGCTAAAATTTGATCTAAAATCTCAAGTTTGAACCGGTTATTATTACAAGTTGTGAATTCTTGGGGTGGCACCTGTGGTTCAAAGGAGTAGGGTGCTGGCCCCATATACCAGAGGTGGGGGGTTCAAACCTGCCCTGGCCAAAAAACGGCCAAAAAAAAGGAAGTTTTGAATTCTTGAAGATGAGGTCTCTGGCTGATGCCAAGCACACGTGGAGAAATTGACCAGACATCTCAGGTCTTTTCTGTCTTGTGATCTTTTGTCTGAAGTTTCGATTCTGAAGTTTTTTTTTTTTTTTTGAGACAGAGCTCAATGTATATGTATTACTTTAATGGTAGATATAGTTTTATAACTTTTATTTATTTATTTATTTATTTATTTTTGAGACATAGTCTTACTTTGTTGCCCTCGGTAGAATGCCATGGTGTCACAGCTCATAGCAACCTCCAGCTCTTGGGCTTAGGTGATTCTC